CCCCCCCCCCCTTACCCGGTTTTTGTGCTTGGTTTGTCTTCGTTTGACCGGGCAGGAGTGGGATAGGTGATCTGCCTCGCGAATGGCATCATGCACATAGACTACAGCAGGGGTTGGGTTCGGTGTTTTCTGTGAGCGATGGGATCAGGCTGGCTGGGGTCTGCTGTGGAGATACGGTTGATTAGGTCGATAAGGATGTCCCCTCCGTTTGATAGAGTAGATAGGGCTCGAAGTTTCAGCTTGTATTGGGGATACGGCACATCAGTGGGTAGGGTTTCCCATCATCTGATGTATATCGCTCAACGTGCGCAAATATAGGCAGTAGGAAATTACAACACACTCTTGCTTCGGGACGCTGGACCTGATTTCCAGCAGATACGTTAACATATCTGTATAGGGACACTGGACCCGTTTTCCAGCACATACGTGCACACCATTGTATAGGGACGCTGGACCCGATTTCCAGCAGGTGTAGCTCCCCACCAATAGATGGAGCCTTCGATGCCGGGGCCTACTTGCCGGGGATGCTCTTATCACCTCGCTAAGTAGGCTTCCCGTTCACGAAGTTTTCGGAAAATAAAAATAAAAAATGGTGAGAGCAGGGGACCCCTACCCTGCAGCGGAAAAGGAGGGGCGGTCTTTTTTTTGGGGGGGGTGTCCAGCTAGCGAATCACAAGTCGTGGACTAGGGGGGCACCCACAGAAAGTCGCCGCCCCGTTTGTGGAAGCGCTGCGCCTTGCGGGCCTGTGGAGTCACCATTTCATTTTTTTTGTTCCATGCGGGCCACTTCCATCTTTTTCGTTTCTTTTTGGAATTCACAGAACTCGAGTAGTGTGTTGCATCAGCCCCCTGAAGCCTAGGAATGTATGCAGTACATCTCTTTTTTTTTTTTTTTTTTTTACTATAGGGAAAATCACCATCATGCCACATGTCCAGCTGAAAAGCAGTCACAGAAGAACTTTGAAAAAGATGGGAAAAAAAGGAGGGGAGAAAGAAGGGAGAAAAAAAAGAAAAGAAAAAGAAAGGACGGCAGTACGGGTCCAGAAAAGAGAGGCAACAATGAGAGAGGAAGGACTCCCTGAGAATTTTGACAAAAAGGAAAGAAAAAATCAAAGGAATCATAGCAATGTACGCAGCACAGCTCCGGAAAATAAAAAATCCAGCGGCCTAACTCAGCTGGTAAGGCTCGCAAGTGGCATTCAGGAGGTCATGGGTTCAATCCCC